GGCCGAGCTGTGCAGACCGCTGGCTGGTGCCGGCAGCAGGGGCGGGAGCAGCGGGGAGGGCCGCCCGAGGCGGCCCGACCAGCGGCTCCTCATCCCGAACCGGGTGCTGCGCAGCCAGATCCGGGACCCGCAGCTGCGCGGCCTGCGCCGCCCGCGGGAACTCCTCGGGCGGTCCCGCTGCTCCCTCCCGGGGCCGTCGCCTCCGCATCCGCCTGCGCCTCCTCGTCCGCCTGCCTCGTCGGCCTCGTCCGCTTCCGCCCCCCCTCCCAGGGCTGGACCTCGGGGTGCCTTGGCGGTCTCCTGGGCCGTTTTCGTCTCGACTTCGTCTTGCGGCAGAGGCGGGTTGGAGACAAGGCGAGGGAGAATGGAAACGAGACGGAAGCGAACAGCACCGTTTAGGGCCAGCCCTGCCCATCCCTCCTCCCCCTCTCCCGTCGTCTTCCTGCTCCTCCGCTGCCACCTGCTCCTGCTCGTCGTCCTCCACCTCCTCCTCCTCCTCCTCGCCCCTCCGCCTCTTCCCAGCTGGTCGTTCTCGCCCTCCTCCTCCTCCTCCTCCTCTCCGTCCTCCTCCTCCCTCTCCTCCTCGTCATCCTCCCTCCTTTGTTTGCCTCATCCTGTTCGCCTCGTCCATGCTCTTCCTCATCCTCGTCCGCTTCGCCTGATATCCACATTGCATGATAGCGGCGTTATTGGTCGATCCTCCCTCTTGCCTTTCTCCTGTTGGCCTCCACGTTGGGCCACTGCCCGCCCGTCATTGGTTTGTCCGTGAGTGTTGACTGCCTCTAGCGCATGGCGTTCTGTGGTGCACGAAGCCGGGTTGCTGCTGAGCCGCCTGTATCCTATATGCAGGGGCGCCCTCGAGGGCGCGAAATTATTCGCGCTTCGCGCTTGCGGTTCGGCTACAATTCCTCATCCTCCTCTTCTCCCCTGGGAGGCGGCGCGAGAGCGCGAAGTTATTCGCACTTCGCGCTTCGCGCAGCGCGGAGCGCGAAGTTGGGAGCCCTTGTATATGCATATTTTTGTCGGAGGTCCGCGCGGATTCCTCGGATCGGCGCTAGAGTCCCCTGGCGGCGCCTCTAGCGCCCGCCCTTGACGCGGCTCCGCGGAGGGTCCAGCGCCGATCCAAGAAATCAGCGCGGACCGCCAACAGTTGATGTTCATGCCATTGTTCGGCACGAACGAACTGGGCACGGAAAGAATGGGTACAATGCCCAACAGCAGTTATTGTTCATTTTGAACAGGACTCGCTGTCCGCGCCGCCGCGGCCTGTGTCCATTTGAGAAAGCAGGCCGCCTGCCCAACAGCGGCCGCTGTTGGTTTGGGACAACGTTTGTTGTTGGGCCTTGTACCCATTTTTGCCGTGCCCAGTTCAGGCGTTCAAAATTGCTCGCTCCTGTAAGCGAGGGGCAATCAACAGGGGGGACGAGGACCGCCAGCGGTTGATGCTCGTGCCATTGTTTGCTGCTCTAAGCGAGGGGGCAATCAACAGGGGGGGACGAGGATTGCAGGAGGGCGGCCCTGAAGCAGCCTTGTCCCTGAGCTGGCATCGCAGGCCTGGAAGGTGATGGGGCAGGTGTGCGTCCGATCGCAGGTTGCGATATTCGGGTTTCGCCACCAGCCGTTGCTGTGCTGGTCCAGCACGGCCTTTTGCCACCGATCGCGCTTGCTCTTTTGGTGCAACGGGTGCAGGCAAATCCCGCTGGCCGTTGCTGGTGGTGTGGCCTGAGCAACGGCTGTTGCCGCTGGCGATGCTCTTGGCCTGCCACTGGTGTCGGTCGCCGGCGCTAGTCGTTGCCTGGGTGTGTCTCGAGAGCTGGTTGTCGCCCTCATTGACCGTTGCCCCATGGTGTGCCACGAATGCGGATTGCCGCCGCGGCCCGCGGTACAGATGTGCTGCACTTGCCAGCTGCTCTGGCGTGCCGCTGCTGCAGGCTGCCAATGCTGGTCATTGCCCTGTTGTGCCGCACATGCTCGAGGAGGAGGAGAAGGAGAAGGAGACGGAGACGGAGACGGCCAAGAAACAGAAGATCACAAGGAGTACGATGAACGGGCGGATCAGCAGCAGGAGGATGACAAGGACGACGACGGGTACCACAATCCACCTCCAAAAGGGGAGGAGAACGAGCTACAGTGCGGAGGGAGACGGGTAGGAGGCAGAGCGGGAGTGGGCGGACGAGGATTATGAGAACCAGAAAATCGACGAGGAGGAGGAGCGACGAGGACGGCGATGGACGACGAACGACGACAAGGATACGATGAATGACAAGGCGAGCAGAAGACGACCGACGAGGCGAGGAGGGAGATGATGGCGCACACGATCGACGACCCGCCAGGACTTTATGGAGTCTCGAGTCTCCCTGAGGCTGGGCGCGCACCGCGACATCTGAGAGGGGCGTCCCGCCCCTGGCACGAGTGCCACTGGGAGGACCGCGCTGGCCGTGCGCCCGATCCCTGCTCGTGCCACCGCCACCGCTACACTTCATTCTCCTCCTCCTCCTCCTCTTCCTCATGCTCCTCCTCCTCTTTCCCCTCCTCCTCCTCCTCCTCCTCCTCCTCCTCCTCCTCCTCCGTCCTTCTCCTCCTCCCCTTCTCCTCTTCCTCCTCCTCCTTCTCGTCCTCCTCCTCCTTATCCATTCCTCTTCCTTATACATGATTTCTCCCTGTCGCACCCCGAGGCCAGTTTTGGGGCGGGCCGGGCGTTTCGCCTGAGACCTCACCACTTATGATCCTGAAGCTTGAGAATTGGCAACAGTTTCACAGACGGAGGGCGGGCCGTTTTCAAAATGTTGTTCTCGCCTTAGCGCGTCGCACATTCGTTTTATTATTTACAAGAATGTTACTGATTGAGGGCGGGTGGTTTTCAAAATGTGGCTCTCGCGTTACCGCGGCACACATTCGCTTCAAACATTTGCAAGAGTTTCACGGATTGAGGGCGACCCTTTTTCACAATGTGGCGTTCGCTTTAGCGTTGCGCAAGTTATTTTTCAACATTTGCAAGAGCTTCACGGATTGAGGGTGGGTCCTTTTTGAACATGTGGTTCTCGCGTTAGTGCCATTCACATTCGGTGTACAAAACCGCAAGAGTTTCACGGATTGAGGGCGGATCTTTTCCAACACGTTATTCTCGCCTTGGCGCACATTCGTTTATACATTCTGCAAGGGTTTCATGCATTCCACAGAAATTGTGTTTTGGACGTGTTCAGGATTGTGCGGGTGCGACAGTTACGTTGGTTCGTTGTGTTGAAGTCCCGGGAATGGCGTTCTGGCACGATTCAGGATCGTCAAGACCCAACAGTCAGGTAGATCTGTAGCGTTGGAATCCCGAGAACAATGTTTTGGCATACTTCAGGGTCTTCAAAGGGTTGTCTTCCAGCGAGGCAGTTCCCTCAATGAAGATGAACCGTTGTAGGGGCATGTGAAGAGGGAGCTTGGAGGGAGGGTCAATTCCCAAATCGTTGATGTTTCCTTGGATTCACACTGGTCCTCATCCCCCTCCTCCTCCTCCTCCTCCCCTTCCTTCGCCTCCTCCTGGTCCTCCGCTGCAGTCCAGGCAATGTAGGCACGTGCAACAACAAGTGCGTGACCATGTTTGATCACCGCACGAGGTGAGGCACACAGAGTGCAACGCAAACGGCGGGTACGAGGTTTCAGAACAGCCCTGGTTTCGGAAGGAGTGACTGTAACTATGGTTCTCCTGTCTGGGATCTCCACCTTGGAGTGCTCTCCGCTTGAGGCATGCCCATAGGCCTTTGGGCCTTTGGCGAAGGGGTCATGCTCTTGATCTGCGTTCTTGTGGCCATGCTCATGCCTCTTACACATGCCTCCTTCCTCCATCCAGTCGATCGTAGGAATTCCAGCAGTATGCAGTGGCTCAGTGCTCCATCTAGGTCGTCGTTGCATCCTTATTTGTTCGGCCCGTGGTTTCGCCAATCGTCAGGCCGTTGCTGTTTCAGCATGGACGTGCAAGGATCTTGCATCCGTATCCGGCACATCTGATCTTCTGTTCGACTGCACTACTGCACAGCAGATCGATCGAGGGCCCCTTGGTTTCTGCTCTCCCACCGGGAGCACGTGCGCCGTGTCGCGCTCAAGTCCCCCCCTTCCTCGACCTCTGATCCTTGCGTGCTCGAAGGTACTCAGCAGGCGCTGTGGGAGGAGCAGGGGGAGACTCGATCTGAAAGTAGAGGGGGTGCGGGGATGAGGACGATCAGAAGCAGACGGCGGACGGAGGAAGAGTAGGAGGAGCCGGATAGGGACCGCGGATCATTTTCCCTTCAAAAACGACCTGGGATGAGGGAGGGGTTCTGCTGAGGACGACTGAAAGGATAATGAGGAGGAGTATCGGAGGAATAGGGGGAACGGGGAGTAGGAGAAAGAGAATCATGAGGGGGGAGATGCGGGAGGAGCAGGTGGTTGGGAATGAGGGGAAGAAGACATCATACTACTGAGTAGGTGCAGGATGAGTAAGAGGACTGGGAGAGGATCCGTTGAGAGAGAGATTGTGAGAGAGAGAGAGAGAGATCAGGAGGAGCATGATGACGCGGGGCAGGAGGAGGAGGATGAGAAGCCGCGATGTCAGGTGGAGGACGACGGGGGGCGGCCCTGGAATAGCCTCGCTCGAAGAGATCGGCGAGGCGTTCCAGGAGGCGGAGTAGATGAAAGCGGCGCAGAGGGAGGGAGAGGAGTCACGAAACGCTAGGCTAGCTATATGCACTGGCATGCAGCGCGTCTCAAACGCGAGAGTCGGTACCCAGTTGATATTGCCCTGCCTATGAAGAGCAGCGGAAGCTAAACATCGCGAACAGCGGCAGTAAGAAGAGTTGCAGATGAGATTCCGTGTGGACGCGGTCGGCGCCTTCCCTTTCGCCTTTCTCTTTGTTCCCCCCCTCATCCTGCGGGATGGGCATGTGCGACGCACTCAATGACGCTCCAGACGGCCCACAATGTTTGGTTGTGTCAGTTCTTGCGGGGTTGATGCTCCTGCCTCCTCCACGTTGTCAGCAGCTGGCTCCCCATCAAGCAGCATACTTGTCTCGACTCGAGCAGGGGCAGCTTAGCAACGTTGAGCAGATGCATCGGGGCCAGCTGTAATCCATCCTTGCACCACTACGTGTTATAGCCGGTTCCTTTTCCTGTTACCCTCCTATCCCTCCTCCCTCCTCCCTCACCTTCTTCCCTCCTCCCCCTACCTCCCCAGTCCTTCATCCTGATTAAGCCTCACCCCTGCTCCTTCCTCATTTCTCCCCCCTTTTAATGTTTCCTCCTCTTTCCTCCCCCTCCTGCAGCATCTTTCGCTCCTGCCCCTTCTATCTCCCGTCTATCCTCTCTCCTCTCGATCCTCCCCGTCCTCCCTCCTTCCTAGTCGTCGCTCACTCTTCTCCCCTTCCTGCTCCGTCCTAGTTGCTTTCCCTTCTTTCTCCCTACTCCAGCCCTTCACCCAACTGCCCCCATAACGCATTTGTCCTCCTGCCCGTCGTACCCCGTCTCTGCAGTCCCTGACGCGGATGGCCGCCCCGAGGAGACACAGTGGGCCGCGCTGTACATCTGAGCGCAGCTGCGGCGGCAAGTCATCTGGGCATAGCCCGGCACACAGGACGTCGTCCGTACGCCGCGTTTTTTTAAAATTTTTTTCTGCTGCGCTGCTGAGCCGTCCAAGGGCACGACAGGGCATCATCTGGAGGGTCTCGAGAGGGGCCTAGGCAGAGGGAAGGCCTGCCGGCGGCTGCCCCCAATGGTAATATCCTATCTCCCGCTTGGGCCGCAGAGCCCTGAGGGAACTTGCGGAGCTCAGTGTGTACGCTGGATGTGCCCCTCTTAGTTGTTCTATCGAGATGTCTTGTTGGATGCGTCCACTGGATCTAGAGTGAAGGGCTTTGTATCCCCCCTCTGCCTCAACCCGCTCCGTTGTCCTCCGGCTATTCGTCGGGAGGGCGCTCTGTTTTATGTGTTTGTTTAGACGGCAAGTTGTAGGTTGTGCTAGTTTCCAATGTGATGTTGCACTCGATCGGCCCGTCGTGCGACAGTCCCCCATGAGGGTGGATGTATCGTCTCTGTATCGCTCTATCTCTCTCTCTCTCTTTCTCGCTGTATCTCTCTTTTATTTCGGGCGTAGCCCGGATTTGTTTCTCGCGAGGTAAACTGATCTAAAGTGAACCCGCTGGTCGCACCCATTACGCGACGGTTTTATTCTCGGCCGCCGAGGGCGCAACCTATGGCGCAATCGATAGGAGGCGGTTCCATTCTCGGCCGCCGAGGGCGCAACCTATGGCGCAACCGGTAGGAGACGGTGTTATTCTCGGCCGCCGAGGGCGCAACCTATGGCGCAACCGATAGGAGACGGTTTTATTCTCGGCCGCCGAGGGCAGGAGGAAGACGAGGACGACGAGGAAGACGAGGAGCTAGAGCAGGAGGAAGACGAGGAAGATGAGGAGGAGGAGGAGGACGAGGAGGAGGAGGACGACGACGACGATCAGGATGGGAAGGAGGACGGGAAGGAATACGACTATTACGATGATGAAGTGTGGGCATTCGAATGCGTTCGGGGCGACGCCCGATTTATGTTCGCCGTTTGGCCTGGCGTTGGGGCCCAAGCGGGGAGCTGTATTAGGGAGGCCGCGGCGAGCATGGGGGTTCCAACCCCCCCCCAAAAAAAAACATAGTGTTTCGTTGATTCACAGACCAAAACCACCCGGACTGGAAAATTGGCGTTTATTGAACGGCTCTGGGCGTTTACTCAACAGCCCTGCCCTGTTCGATCCCTTCACTGGGCGCGTTTCCTAAAGGCCTCGCGTGTCGGGGTGGTCATTATCGGGGTGGAGTTTCTTCCCTCTACTGGAGGCTTGAGCCGCCCTGGGGGATTTGTTCTTCAGACGTGGAGGTGCCTTCTGGGTGGCAGGCGCAGCGGGTCGAAGCACCGGGGGGAGTTCTGCAAGGAAAGGACCAGATCAAGCCGTCTACACCTTAGGCGATGCCTAAGAAAACCCAAGTTTTCGGCCAGAGTCTCGATTATTCTTAACGTTTCAATGTAAATCCTAAGATTTGAATGGAAATGTTGGGTTTTTATTCAAGGTCTGAGACTCTGAGTTTCTTAACCCATGATTTCTTAAGCATTTCGCAGGGTGTAGGGTTGAGAACGCCAGGCGCCCTTGTGGCAAGCCTACAGGGGGCGGCGGATCTAATGACCTTCGGTCCATCCCGCCACCGTGCCTGGATTGCGGGGATGAAGCCTAATGGATGTTTGGTGGGATCTCGTGGGGGGCTTCCCGGGGGCCTCTTGGAGCCAGTTTGGGCGCTTTTTGGGAGCCGTTTAAGGCCTCTCGGGGCCTCTTCTAGGCCTCTTGGGGGCCTTTTGGGGCCTCGTGGGGACTCTTGGGGCCTCCTGGGCACCTCTTGGGGCCTCCTGGGGGCCTCTTGGGGCGGAAGGCTCGGATTTTCGGTTCGTGTTGCCTCTTTTGGGCTGCTTTTGGGTCCGTCTTTGGGCCCTCTTGGTCCGTTTTGAGCGCCTCTTGGGCTGTCTTGGGGCCCTCTTGGTCCGTTGTGTAGCTATCTTGGAGGCCTCTTGGGCCGTCTTGGTGCGTTTTTCGGTGCCTCTAGGGCCGTCTAGGAGCGTCGGGAAACAGAAAAGGCGAGAACGCCAAAATCTTTCAAACATCTGAGGGAGATCAATAGTTGTAGACTGAGGCCCTCTTGGGAGGCCTCTTCAAGGCCATTTTGGGAGTCTTGGAGGCCTCTTGGGGCGTCTGGGGCCAATCTTGAGCGTCATGGGACTATCTTTTGGCGACTTGGGCCCCTCTTGGACCGTCTTGGCGGCCTCTGGGAGCTCTCCTGGCCCGTCTCGGTGCGCTGTTGGGCCCGAAAAAGGCACGCGATAAGATGCGCCAAGGCCCAAGGGAACCGCGCCAAGCCCCAGGAGATTAGTGGATTTGGGCTCCGGCGCCCTAAACAATTCCTCAGGACGGAGGACTCAGGTTCAGGGGATTGGCCCAAGGACGTGACGACACGCCCACTCCGTGCCCAGAGGCACGGTGGCGGGTATATATATATATATATATATACGTATACAGATGTCAATGAGCATGTCTGTACGTATATCTGCATGCATACATGTATGCGTGTATGTGTGGAGGTATGTATGCATGTATACATGTATGCAGGCATGCATGTATGCATGTATGTAGGTGTGTATGTATGTACGTGTACATTTTATGTGTGTGCATACATGCATGCATATATGCATGCGTGTATGTACGTGTACATGAATGCATGCATCCACTCATGCATGCGGTACGCATGTGTGTGAGTGTATGTGTGCCTGCATGTTTGTCTACGTATGTATGCATGTTTTCATGACTGTATGTATGTAAGCATGTATGTGTGTATGTGTGTGCGTGCGCGTGCGCGTGTGCGTGTATGCATGTATGTGTGGTATGCACATCGATACATGCATACACGCATATGCATGTCTATATGTTTGTACGTGCGCATGTGTGTATGTTTGTATGGTATGTGTGTACGTGAATGTGTATGGATGTATCGATGCATGTAAGGCATGTGTATATGTATGTGCATGTCCATGTGCATGTGCATGTGTAAGTGCAGGTGTATGTGCATGTGTATGGGTATGTGTATGTGTAAGTGTAACTGTACACGTAGATGTGCAGATACGCATCTATTTTGTTATATGTATAAATAGATATATATATATATATATATATATATATGTATACGTGTGGCATGCACCTGCTCAGTATTTCTGCAATTTTGGACCCTTCGAGCACCCCCGCCTTAAACGAGCCCCCCCTGGATCCTTGGCCCTGTAGGCCCCCCTGGACGCCCCTGCAGGCCCCTGCCGGGCCTAGTCAGCCGGCCCAACACGGTCAGGAGGGCGGCCGAATGGCCCCACGAGAGCCCGACGAGACCCCAGACACCCACCAGACGCCCGAAGACGACCAGTGAAATCCCCAAGAGGTTCTTGAAACGCCCAAAATGTTAGCCAGCGTGGACCCCAAACAGTGTGATTTAGCAATCTATGCGGTGCAATCTTTGTGGTGCAATCTTTGTGGTGCAATCTTTGTGGTGCAGTCTGTGTGGTTCAATCTTTGTGGTGCAAACTATGTGGTGCAATTTAGGTGGTGCAATCTTGGTGGTGCAATCTATTTGGTGCATTCTAGGTGGTGCAATCTATGTGGTGCAATCAATCATTTGCTCAACTTGAAGCTGTCCTCTCCACTGCTCGTGCAAACATCCCAACCTTCCACCGGCAGCTTGGTCGCAAGACCTTTTCAGACCGTGACTGTGGGTACCAAATGGCGCTCGGCAACGACACCGACGACGACAGCGACAACGACAACGACGACGACGACGCAAACGACAACGACTACGACGACATCGACGACGTCTCCAACGACTTCGACGACGACGACAATGACGACGACGACGATACCGACGACTGCGACGACTGCGACGACGACGACGACACCGACGACGACGACGACGACGGTGACGACGACGACGGCGTCGCCAACGAAGACGACGACGACGATGATGGAGGGAGGACGACGACGGCGACAAACAACGACAACGACGAAGCAGGAGGGAGGACGGCGACGACGCGAACGACGAAGAAGGAGGGAGGACGGCGACGCCGACGACGACAACAACGAGGGAGGAGGGAAGACGACGACGACGACGACGACGGCGACGAAATAGGAGGGACAAAGATGAAACGCCGACGAAGACGACGAGGGAGGAAGGACGACCACGGCGACAACGACGACGGAAACGGCGACAACGACGCCGGAAAGAGACGACGACCAGGAAAGACAGAGGACGACGACGAGGACGACGACGCAAGAGCGCGCGCGCGCGCACGTTTTTGTTGAAAATCCGTGTTGCGAAACCCTGTGCATTTGTATTTGTTTTGGGCACCCGATTTTGAAATCCTTCCGAAACCTAGGGTTTTAAAGGATTTCGGCATGCGCGCGCGACGACGCGCACGTGTGCACTTCGTTCCGTTTTTTTGCAAAGGATTCTCTCGACGGCACGCGCGCCCGGGCTTTCGAAAGAGTTCGGCATGCGCGCGCGACGACGCGCGCGTGTGCACTTCGTCCCGTTTTTTTGCAAAGGATTCTCTCGACGGCACGCGCGCCCGGGCTTTCGAAAGAGTTCGGCATGCGCGCGCGACGACGCGCGCGTGTGCACTCCGTCATTTTTTTTGCAAGGGATTTTTGAAAGCTTCTGATGTTTTGATCAACGAGTGCGCGCGCATGGTAGTTTTCGCAGAGGATGGCGGGGGGAACCAATACCAGTTTGGCCAGGATTGTATGAATTCACTGGTAGGATGGATATTGGGTCAGAACCCTATGTGTTTTGCATCGGTTCCCGGGGGGTCTTTAACTCCAGGGGGGGGATGGTGGTAGAACCTGTTTTCGTTCTCGGAAGGAGAATCTAGGTGGCGCAATGACGCGTGGTGCAGCCTACGTAGTGCAAAGTGGTGCGAAGCAATGCCAGGCAAGGCCATGCAACGCAGTGCGAATCAAAGTGATTCAGGAGGGAAAGAAACACACAGACACAATCAGTCGTCGACTCCCAGGAAAATATGCAAAAATATGGGAAGTGGTGGGGAAGACAAAAACCCAGAAAATATGGGAAAATATGGGGGATATTTTTATTTGTGTGTATTTATTTGTGTGTTCCAGTTCCCCTTCAGTGATGCAGTGCAAAGAGATGGCATGCGCAGCAATGCCAAGCGATGCAGTGCAAAGCAGAGCAGCGCAGCGCAGCGCAGAGCACTGCAGCGGGCGGCAGCGGGGGGCGCAGGCGGCGACGGGCGCCGCCCCTGGCGGCGGCAACGGGCGGCAACGGGCGCCGCCCACGGCGACGGCAGCGGACGGCAGCGAACGGCACCGGGCGGCGACGTGCGCCACCTACCTCGGGAGCGGAAAAAGAGGGGGGTGATGACTAGGGGGGGGTGGATATCATGGCGCGGGCTATGATTTTTCCTCAGATCTCATGGCGCCTCTTCTTGTTTTATCACGTCCCAGGCCCCCCCGCTGGGCCGCGCACATGCCGCCCGTCATGATTTGCACCCCCCCTCTTGGACACCCCCCTCTTTGCCGCTCCCGACTATCCCGAGATGGTTCAGAGAAGTAAGAACCCCTTAGCTTGATGTCGGGCGTGTCCCCCTACAGGGGGATGTTCGACGAAACCTATAAGGCACCCCACACATGCCCCCCCAAAAAGGTTGAGCACATATTCAAAAGATAGCCCCCAGACTATTTTTGGATTATTTTTTGACTTTTGGGGGTACTTTTATTTTACATTGAAAATCCCCCTGTAGGGGGACAGGCCCCACTTAACCTTAGCTGCAAAGAGTTCTTACTTCAGGGAGAACCCCTTAGCTGCATGGATTCCCTTCGGGGATCATCCGTGAAGCTTGGAACGGTACAGAGAAGATTGGCATGGCCCCTGTGAAATGATGACACGCACACATCGAGAAGTGTGTACATGTTCTTGTTTTTATGTATATATATATATATACGTATATAACCTTAGCTGCAAGCAGCTGTTTGGGGAACCATTTATTTCCAATAGTGTTTGTATGATCCTCTTCGGTCTTCCGGCCGCCCTGGAGGCCAGAGATCGCGCCGAAACCATCCAAGAGGGCTCCCAGGCAGTCCAATAGGAGCCCCAAGACGGCCTACGATGGCCCGAGGAGAGCTCCATGACGGCCCAAGATGGCCCCAAGACGCCCCCTGAATCATTCCAAATCGTAACCCGATTTCATGGAGACCGCGGTTGGAAGCAGTGTGGCCCCAGGAAGCCCCCAGAGGCCCCTAGAAGGAACCCATGAGGCCTCCAGAAGGCGTCAAGATACCTCCGAACAATTTCTTGAGGCACCCGAACGGCTCTCCAAGGAGGAGCCTCCGCAAAAAGAGCTGAGGATCGGGTCGCATTCGCAGGGTAGGGCGAGAATGAGGAAGAGGAAGAGGAACATGAGGGAGTGATAACGAACAGCATCATTACAACGATGATGTTGGAAACGACAGCAAAGAGTGATCGCCGAAAGGTCCGTTTTGCCTTCTTGCCCGCTTGCTTGCATGCCAAACCTCAAGGACCAAGGTGCATGGCGCGAAGCGCCGCCAAAGCAGTCTTGTACATATATATATGTGTGTATATCTACACAGGTGTATCTCTCTCTCTCTCTCTTTCTCCCTCCTTCTGCTCGCCCGTTCTGTTTTCAACGAATTTGCCCGTCTCTGCCCGGCTCTGCCCAGTCTCGTTCTTATTGTTTGTTTGTTGGCCCGCCGCCCGCATCAGCAGAGGGCGCTTGCTCGGGCCCAAAGAAGGACGCCGAGGTTTTCCTATGTCCGTTGGTTAGGATTAGGAAGCAGCACGAGGAGGAGGAGGAGGAGGAGGCTTGCCGCGTAGTGGCAACGGCGATGTTCCGCGCGATCAGTGCGCCGTTGAGACTCAGTAGAACAGTCCACGGTCCGAAGACAGCCATCCGCGATCCTTTTCTATCCTCATGTCGCTTGGAAGACTGTGTAAGTGTATGGCAGTCTTGAGAATCCATGTTATGCCTGCGGCGAACCCCGCCACGGTGCCATCTCATGATGGAAGTTTGCGCAGCATGTCAAACGAGCACTCCCGAACAGGCTCGGTAGAACCGTCCGGGGGGGGTCAGGGAAGTAGCGGTACCACTCTGCAGTGTACGCATTGCAAGTTTTGTCTCGTTGATTTGGCGACCTTTGGGGGATCTCCTTGGGGAAGGTTGGGGGTTTGTGTGGACGTCGTGGTCACGATGGCTCGACGGTTGTGGGGCTGCGTTCAACTCCCGTGCAACCGTTCTCGGGGGTGGGAGGGCCCGGGGAACATGCGCCGTCTTGGAGTTCAGGGCTGGACCTAAACGCTGTTTGCTGGACTTCGGCTGTGTTTGGTTTTTCGTTTGGGGAGGGAGGTACTGGAAAACAGATGGAGCACATCGAACCAAAAAGACAAGCAACGTTTAGGTCCAGCCCTGGGGGACATGCGCCGTCTTGGGGCTCTCTTGGGGCCCTGTGGGGCTATGTTTGGCAATCGGGGGCCTGTCTTGGGGCGTTCGGCCTTCCCGGGGTATTCGAGGCCGCCAGGCTAGAGACGGCAAGTAAGGCATAGACAGCCACGAACAAGTGACCGAGTTACCTTTCAGCAGTAAGGCACATGAACGCCAGATCTAACGACCATGCATCACAAGTCGCAGTCGTGCCTCTACCAAACACAACTATGCCAACTTAAAAGGTTGGATGCACACGACACGAACGTCGAGCACACTCGCAGCAGCTCCGTGGTTGGGGTCGCTCGGGGCAGAACAGCATGAACATGCACATTGCTTTCAGGCTCTGGCTGGACGGCCTCCCGGGGTCCTCTGCGGGGCGTCGTGGGCATCTCAGGGCTGTTCGATGTCATCTTCGGGCCTCCTCGATGTGCTTCGGATGTCCCGGGCGGGCGTCGGAGGCATGCCGCGGGCGTCTTGGGGCGGCCAGCTGCATGCGCAGTCGTACACGTCGCCCACGTAACCAGGCAGACGTTACACGTGATGGTGTTCAGGTGTTCGCGGAAGACGAGTGGCAAGTGCAGTCAGAGCACCGTCCGTATCCCAGGCAAGCCACCCCCTCGCTAGGCTTCCTGAGGGGGAGGGAGGTGGACAGGGGTTCGCTGAGGGGGAGATTACCCTAAGGTGCTCTCAGGGAACCAATCCATCTGGATGCTCGTGCTTCCTTCTTCCCGAGGGGCTGACCTGGAGCGAGTTCCCTCTGACCCACCTCTGCCTCCACCTTGCCTTCGCGACCCCCCGAGTAGAAGGGAGGGATGAGGGTGGCCGGCCGAGCCGACCCAGGAGGCGCCGAAGGGGGGGTGATGACGAGGGACGAAGGGTGTATGTGTGCGTGTGTGCGCGTGTGCGTGCGTGCGTGTGTGCGTGTGTGTCTGTCTGTCTGTCTGTCTGTGTGCGTACGTGTGTGTGTGTGTGTGCCTGTCTGTCTGTCTGTCTCTCTGTCCGTCCGTCCGTCCGTCTGTCTGCTTGTCTGTCTGTCTGTCTGTCTGTCTGTCTGTCTGTCTGTCTGTCTGTGTCCGCGCGGCCCGTGTGCCCCGACCACGTTCCTCGGGCCTGCGGGGGGCCGCGAGGCCCGCCGTGGCCGACCGCCGGACGTCACGGGCGCGCGGTCCAGTCGGGGGAGGGGGGGGGCACGCTTCTTTGACGCACACGGCAGGCCCGCGTCGTGCCGTCGCGACAACGACCCCAGCGCGGGCGTTCTGGCAAGAGGGTTGCTTAAGTACAGTCAGCGTGCCCAGCAAGGCCGCGCTCCTTCATCCAGGGCGCCCTTGTGTCCTTGCCTCTGCGGCCCGTCCTCCGCCGCTTTCGCTGGTCGCCCGCCGCCCACAGGATCCCAACCTCGGCCTCCAAGGGTCTTGCGTCCTCACCACCCGTCCTCAACACGCGTTTTGTTTTGTGCACAGTTCAGCACATCGGAATAGAAGGGTTTGCAGTAGCGCCTCCGCCCCTCCGTAGCCATCTGAGGGCCACTCTGGCAGCACACACGGTGCACGGTGCACGCGTGGAGCCCAGGACAGAAGTCGCCGTCGCGCGCAGCTCGCCGCGGCACGAAACCCTGCCGCACACGGGAAGGCACGTTGCAGGAGCGTGGAGGAGGAGGAGGAGAAGGAGGAGGAGGAGGAGGAGGAGGAGGGAGGAGGGGGAGGAGGAGGAGGAGGAGGAGGAGGAGGAGGAGGAGGAGGAGGAGGAGGGAGGGGTGGAGGAGGAGGAGGAGGAGGAGGAGCGGCCCTCTGGCGAGCGCGGCGAGCGCGCCCAGGTCCCGCTCGCGAGGGGCGAGGCGCCCGGGCGGCCGGTCGCGCTCTCCCGAGGCGCGGGGGTCGCCGCTCTCTTCGGGGCCGCCGCCGCGCCGCGGCAGTCGTCTGCGGCGGGCGATGTCTCGCCCCCCCCCCCGAGGAGTCCGGCCGCTCCGGGCAGGGGAGGAGCTCGGGGAGACGGCCCGTGTCAAACGACGCGAAGATCGGGAGAATCTCTGAGAATCGGCGGGTTTGGAGGACGTGCTGGGCGCCGCGGCCGCTCCAGAGCGTTCCGGAACGCTCTGAGAGCGCTCCAGAACGCTCTGGAGCGATTTATCCCGATCCCTAGCCCTGTTTGAGGAGCTCGGGGAGACGGCCCGTGGGGGGGGGCTACGTGGACCGCACCCCCCCACCGGGGACGCACGGGCCCCAGGCGAGAGCCCCACGGAGTCTGGGCATGGGCCGCCAGAGGTTGCCCCTCCTCCTCCTCCTCCTCCTCCTCCTCCTCCTCCTCCTCCTCCTCCTCCTCCTCCTTCTCCTCGAGGACCGAGTCTCGAGGTTCGTTATCCAGGGTCGGGAGCGACGCAACGACGCACGCGCACATGGGATCGCATGGGTTTCGAGGGGGCGCATTTTACGCCAGCGATTTTGCACGAGGACGGCTTCTCGCAAATGGGGGGCGGGCGTGTTTATGTTCGCGGCCGGGCGCACGCCCGTCTTGGGCTCCCCAGAGGGCCGAGGTTCGGGGAGCGAGGTTGGGAGAATGGGGCCGCGATAGAGGTTCGGGGGGACGAGGATAGAGGCTCGGGGGGACGAGGATCGAGGTCGGGATCCCCGGTCGCGATTCGAGGTTCGGGGGGATCGACTTCGGGGGGTCCGAGGAACGAGGATCGAGGCCACGGGGGAGGGGCGTCGAGGTCGGGGGGGCTCGGGGCCGGCAGGGGCGAGGCTCGAGGCGCGGCGCCCACCCCGTCAGCACGCAAGGGGGGGGGGGGGGGGCGTGCGCGGCGGGTGCGCGGGGGCGGCGGCGCGGCAGTTCTGCGGGCAGCAGCTGTCGGAGAGTGCCCCCCTTTATCCTGAGGTCGGCGTGAGGTGATGGGCCCGCTTTCCACCACCACCACCATAAGTTGGAGGGAGGGAGGAGGAGCAGGAGGAGGAGGAGGAGCAGGAGGAGGAGGAGGACGAGGAGGAGGAGGACGAAGAAGAGGGGGAGGAGGAGGAGGAGGAGGAGGAGGAGGAGGAGGAGGAGGAGGACCCCCTTCCCCCTCCAACTCATGGTGGTGGTGGTGGTTGTGGAAAACAGGCCCAGCATGAGGTGCATGCGTCCTGGAAGCGTCCCGAGAGCATCCCCCTGTCCTGAGGTCGGCAGGGGGGGCTCCAGGACCCCCTCGGCTTCCAGGACGCACCCGCCTCATGCCGACCTCGGGATAGGGGGCGGCGGCGCCTTCCCAGAGGGCTCGGAAGCCCCCCAGCCTTCTGAGAGGTTCCCGAAGCTTCCCCCGAAGGCATAGACGAGGACCTCTCAGCAGGCGCGAGTGCTTCTGAGGAGTCCCGCCGCCTTCTGAGAAGGCCTTCTCCTCCTCGCTCCCCCCCCCGCTCGCCGCCGCCCCCTATCTCGGGGTTGGACAGACCTCCTACCCTGACACGTCGATTAGTGAATTGTCCGTTTTCGGTTCTCGAGAGGGCGCCGCGGCCGTCATTTTCCAGGCTTGCGCCCGCCAGGTTTGGGCCCGAGGTCGTTTTCACTAGTAGGGGGCCACATGCGAACCCTACCCCTACCCCCCACGACTTCTGAGGTGGAGGGTGGGGTTCACTTCGCTCGGGAGCTCCCCAATGGAGTGAACCCCACCCTCCCCCTCAGAAATCGTGGGGGGTAGGGGTAGGGTTCGCATGTGGCCCCCTAACTAGACCACGTTTTACGAAAGGGAGGTCTATCCATCCCCCACTATCCCGAGGCCGGCAGGAGGAGCGTGCGTCCCCGTCCATCCCCGACTGTCCCGAGGTCGGCCCGGGGCGCTCTCCTCGCAGCCTCCGTGCCCTCCCCCGGCCCCCCCTCCCGCACGGCCCCTCCCATCGACCGACGGAGGGCACGGCTCGAGGTGCGGAGCCGGGCCCGGAGCCGGGAGGCGATATCTCAGGAGGGAAAAAAACACACAGACACAATTAATCGTCGATTCCCGAGAAAATATGCGAAAATATGGGAAGTGGGGGGGAAGACAGAAACCCAGAAAATATGGGAAAATATGGGGAATAATTTTATTTGTGTGTATTTATTTGTGTGTCCCAGGGCCCCTTCAATATCGGGAGCCTGGAGACGGGGGTCAGCCAGAGCGCCAGGTCTTGCAGGATCCTGCAGGGCCAGGCTCCCATGGACCCGGGTTTGGGTGCAGGATCCTGCAGGATCTTGCAGGATGTTTCGCACTGACCCGGGCTTGGGTGCAGGTCGGGGGTGGACAGAACCCCCAACAGTGACACGTCGATTAGTGAATTGTCCGTGGCCGTGGCCGTTGTTTTCCAGGCTTGCGCCTGCCAGATTTGGGCCTCAGGTCGGTTTCACTAAACCACGTTTTATTAAAGGGGGGTCTGTCCATCCCCGAGCAGGAGCCTGCAGGATGTTGTAGGATTTTGCAAGGCCTGGCTGACCCGGGTCTGGATTTACCCAGGTCAGAAGATC